ATGACAGGAGATAAAAAAAATACTATGTTAATCGTATGAAAAATAGAGCTATGCGGTGCCAATACTAACTATGGATGGGAACAAGTAGTAGGTTTACGACATAATAAAAACTGGAAAACTCTGTAACATGAATTCATATGTATTAGTTATTTAAATCTTTCCACCACTGATGTTTAGAAATGCAATCAATCAGTCTCTTTCGGCATATTTGCATCCTGTGCAGATAGACTGGATACCGTCATCAACCAAATTAATCATTTTCAATATTAAACATCGATGGAGAAGATTGAAACCACTAATATGAATGCACAAGTCATTGGTTAATAGGATTCAGTAGCTAAATGGATAATTAACCAAAAGATGTAAACTGTAAATGGAATTGTTTATTGGATCATTAACCTCATAAAAGCTCTCTACTCGAACACCACTGCTCGAGTGAGTGCTTATGGCGAACTGTCACCGGAATTCTTCACTTCAAGTGGTGTCCGTCAGGGATGTCCACTTTCTCCATTTTTGTTTAATTTTATCATAGACATGCTCCTAGAAATAACCATATCCTCGTCTGAATTTTCAGGAGTAGACCTACTACCAGGTGGCTCGCTTATTGACTTAGAATATGCCGATGACATTGTCCTACTTGGTGAAGATGCTGACAAAATGCAGAGTCTTCTGACCACCCTAAGCAACAATGCAAGCATGTTCGTGATGCGGTTTTCCCCCTCAAGTGCAAAATGTTGCTTCAAGACTGGGTTGCATTGGCACCTGAACTAGTGATAGGGAGTGAAGTAGTCGAACGTGTAGACCGCTTCACTTATCTTAAGAGTCTCATCAGTGCCGATGGCCTGGTGACTGACGAAATCTCAGCTCGGATACAGAAAGCTCGATTGGCTTTTGCCAACCTGCGTCACTTATGGCGTAGGCAAGATATCCGTTTGCTGACTAAAGGACGAGTGTACTGCGCAGTAGTTCGCTCCGTCTTACTTTATGGCTGTGAAACATGGCCAGTGAGAGTAGAAGATATTCGTAGGTTAATGGTTTTCGATCATAGGTGTCTTCGAAGTATTGCTCGTATATCGTGAAACACCCGAGTGAGCAACGCTGTTATTAGGAATCGGGTGCTAGGTAAGAATGGCAGAGCAATAGATGAAGTAATGAAACTTCATCAGTTGAGGTGGTTGGGACACGTGTTGCGTATGCCCAACCACTGACTGCCTCGACGAGCATTGTTTTGTAGTGTAGGAATAGGTTGGAAGAAAGTTAGGGGCAGCGAGATCAAAACATGGCAGAAATCCATGAAGTCATTGACTAGTGGACTGAGTCATGTTGGTAAGTGTCGACTACCTGGTTGGGGCCCAGGAGATGATGGTAATCGATGGTTAGAGACCCTGAATGGCATGGGTCAAAACCGTTTGCAATGGCGCCGGTGCATTTATTCTTTGTGTTCTCTCAAATCCTAATCTTCTGGATTCTTCAACACCTCTAGTTTTGATTTTCTAAACTTTTCTCACTGAATCATACTTCTTGAATAATATCTTCTCATCCTAACCTCTCCGATTACTTCTAATACCCTTACTAACTCTTCTTCTATTGGATTTGAATTGACAATCACATCTATGTGCTGATGTGGTATGGTGACATGAACTGATGTACTTACGTACGAAGTTCTACGTTGCAACTGACTGACTGACTGACTGTTTATTGGATATGAATATGTTATGATTCTGAAATTAACCGCTAACACAGTCAACTACATTTGAAAAGAAACTTCTTATGTGAAGTCAGAGCAACAAATATGATTTATCAATTAGTCAAAGAAAAAATTATGATTCTAATATATTCATGGCTGAAGAATTAGAATAACAACTCCGCTAACATTATCATATGTATGAGTGATCAGAATGTCGATTATTTATAACTGAGTTTTGTTAAGTCATTGTTGGTACATATGCATCCTATGGGAGAAATAACTTGATATTGCTAACATATCACAAGTTATCTGTAATAGATAAATTGTGACTTGAAGTAGAATTCAAGATATGCATGCCACATCCTACTGAGGACTTTTCAGTTGAATGTACTTGTGTTAGGATATTCATCAAATTTCCTAATAGAATTGTTTTTGAAAGTATAATTCTATTAATCGATTCCTATTGGTCAATAGTATGGTCGTTCTAACCATCAATGTCACATACTTCAATGTTGTCTCCTATTGGTCGTACTAACTATCAATGTCACAGACTTCCATGTTGTTTCGTATTCAATACCTAACTAACTGGACAAATATGCATTATCTAGAAAGCATTCCATCCCATTTATTCCTTCCTTCATCTCTTCTGTACTCAACCCCATAAACAACTTCATCTAACGGTGTTGTATTCTGATATATTGGAGATTTGGGAACAGTAATTTGGGTAGTATTGGAATATCTGAATTCGGTCAATCGGTAGGATTTCGAATAGCTACATAGCGTCATTAGACCAACCTGCATCGTAGAGTCAATATTCACTCCCACAACTCAAACTCAATATCTTTTTCTTTAGATGCCTAATACATTATCCAGTATGTTCCATCGATGGTAATAAGCGTGAAAGATGAGCCTATTTATTGATTATCAAATACAAACTTGATGTGTTCGCTCAGTCAGTCAGTTGCAACGTAGAACTTCGTACGTATGTACATAAGTTCATGTTGCCATACCACATTATTAGCACAGAGACGCAAATGTCAAATCAAATGTCATAGTGATAAAGATGGTAGAGGTATTAATGTTATAATAAAGAAGACTAGGGTTTAAGATATTATTCAAAAAATATAATTCAGTGAGATAAGGTTAGAAAGACAAAGGTAGAGGTGATGACGAATCCAGAAGATTAGGATTTGAGAGAGCTCAAAGAGTGGATGCACCTGCGCCATTGCAAACGATTTTGAGCCATGTCGTTCAAGGTCTCTAACCATTGATGACTTTCGTCTCGCGGACCCCAACCAGGTAGTCTATATCTACCAACATGACTCAGTCCACTTGTCAGTGACTTCATGGATTTCTGCCATGTTTTGGTCTGGCCGCCCCTAGCTTTCTTCCAACCTACTCCTACACCACAAAACATAGCTCGTCGAGGCAGTCGGTGGTTCGGCATACGCAACACATGTCCCAACCACCTCAACTGATGAAGTTTCACCATTTCATCGATTGATCTGCCATCCTTACCTAGTACTCGTTTCCTAACGACAGCATTGCTTACTCGGCTGTCCCACGATATACGAGCAATGCTTCTTAAACATCTATGATCGAATACTAGTAACCTACGAACATCTTCTACTCTTAACGGCCATGTTTCACAGCCATATAAGAGAACGGAACGAACTGCTGCGCAGTACACCCGGCCTTTGGTTAGCGAACGGATATCACGCCTACGCCATAAGTGACACAGGTTGGCAAAAGCCAATCCAGCCTTCTGTATCCGAGCTCAGATTTCGTCAGTCACCAGACCGTCAGCACTGATGAGACTCCCCAGATAAGTGAAGTGATCTACACGCTCGACTACTTCACTCCCTATCACTAGTTCAGGTGCCAATGCAACCCAGTCTTGAAGCAACATTTTGAATTTAGAGGGGGAAAACCGCATCCCGAACATGCTCGCATTGTTGCTTATGGTAGTCAGAAGACTCTGCATTTTGTCAGCGTCTTCACCGAATAGAACTATGTCATCGGCATATTCTAGATCAGTAAGCGACTTTCCTGGTAGAAGGTCAACCCCTGAAAAATCTGACGAGCTTAATGTTAACTCTAAGAGGATGTCTACGACAAAGTTAAACAAGAATGGAGAGAGTTGACAGCCCTGACGGACACCACTTGATGTAGAGAATTCAGATGACAGTTCGCCATATGCTCTCACCCGACCAGTGGTGTTCGAGTAGAGTGCTTGTATAAGGTTAGTGTACTTCTTTGGTACACCTTTCAATGACAGACACTGCCACAGAACCTCACGATCCACTGAGTCAAATGCCGCCTTAAGGTCCAGGAACACGACTATTGTCGGACGTCTAAATGTGTGTCTGTGTTCCAGGACCTGTCTTAGTGTGAAAATGTGGTCTATACAACCACGTCCAGGTCGAAAACCAGACTGGTTTTCTCGAGTCTGCTCTTCGCGAGCTCTAGTTAGACGTCTAAGTATAATTGAGGCTAACAATTTAGAAACTATATTAGTTAAACTTATTCCTCTGTGATTGTCACAAGAGGACTTCTGTCCTTTCTTGTAGATTGGGACAATTAGCGACTGAGACCAGTCAGATGGGATTACGTCCATTTCCCAGATTCTACCTAGGATCTCGGTCAGTTTAACCGTTAAAATTGGACCACCATCCTTAAACATCTCAGGGGTAAGCCTATCGGGACCTGCCGCTCTACCTCTCCTTAGATTTCCTATAGCTTTCTCAACTTCATGTAAACTGGGAGGACTTAAATCGATTTGCCATTCAGGATGACTGGAGATCGTGGGCAACCGAAGAGTGGCTGAAGGCCAGTTGAACTGATCCCTAAAGTGTTCTGCCCATCGGTCCAGCCTCCTAGATTGAGAATGGATAATAAGACCATCCTTTTCCGAGATAGTCTCACTTACATTCGGGTTCCTAATACCGGTTTCTTTGATAAGGCGGAAAAGTTGTCCAGTGTTGCCGATCGCCGCTGCCTTTTCCATCGCTTTTGCTTTCGCCACCCACCACTGTTCACGGTCGTTACGTAGGCTCTTTATAAGTCTGCACCTAAGCTGACTACGCTCTTCATCATGTTCAGAGTCAGGTGTTCGCTAGTATGAATAATAAATCTGGTTCAGAGTAACCAATTAAAAGTAGAGTTTCATGATTATCAAAACAAATTATCATGTTTATAGCGTGAAAAAAAGTAGGAATGTATCGACTTTACATTAAAAAATCAATAAATGACATGGAAAATAGGACATATACATATATATAAATCACAACCATGAAATTAAAATCATATTTACCCGTGAATATCCAGGTGAATTAATCAAAAATAAAGGAATACTCCCCAATGGCATTAAATCACGTAACAATTGCGTATCAGCCGGTTTAGTAGGATCTGGTGGAGCTTTTAATCTGATTAAACAACACACACAAAAAAACAATTAAAATAATCATGGAATTCATTCATTGAAAACAAAATAATTAATTTCAATGATAATTTAATGACTATTGTTCTTTTCTTTTTTTTAATTGAATTATAGAAAAATATTTTATTTGACAAAAAAAAAATAGAAACATTATTCACACATACTTGGAGAATAATCGAAATATATCACCAATTTCTGTAGGGCATGGTACAAGTTTAACAGCTATTCGATTATGCAATGTTGGATAGTGATTAGCTGTTACAGTTTCAATTGTTTTTCGAAAAGTTAAAATATCTGAACGTTTTGTAGTTAAATCATAAGCTGAATCAAGTATACAACCTGTATGGATAATTTATGATGAAAGAAAAGAAAAACAGAACACAGAATACATTTTCATTTTAATTTCAACAGTAGTATCAAGGATTAAAGACAATGAGTATCATTAATAAAAACTTTTATAAAATGAAAATGATTCATTACTTGTGAGTGATTAATCATCCGGATTTACAGGAAGTAGAGAGGAGTTGCATTATATTTATAGTCAGTCAGAAGCAACGTAAGAACTTGGAATGTACGTGTATATCAGTTCAAATCGGCATACAACAGTAGTACAGAGAGAAGGAATCGTCAGTTCATATCCCACAATAGTAAAGGTTGTAGCAGTATAAGCAATAATCGAAAAGACTAAGGATTGAAAATATGATGGTCATGTTTCATACCAGTAAAGTAGAACGGAGCAAACTGCCGAATAGTAAAATCATACTTTGATGAGCAAACGGATATCTCGCCTACGTCACGAGTGACGTAAGGTGGTAAAAGCCAGTTGAGCCCTCTATATCCATACCGAGATCTCTTCAGATGTCAGGTCATTAGCATTAATGAGACTCGCAAGATAAGTGAAGCGGTTAACAGGTTCAACTATTTCATCCCTTCTCTTTAGTTGTGGGGTTGATACAAGCCAATCCTGAAAAAAAAAATTGTATTTCGAGAAGGAGAATTGCAACCTTAACATGACAACATTGTTGTTTAAGGTGATCAGAAGATTCTGCATTTTATAGGCGTATTCACCAGACAGAACTTTCATCTGCATATTTTTAGTCAACAAGTAAATCTGGTAGAAGGTCAACTCCTGAAAAGTCAAATGATGAATGTGCTACCTCTAAAAGCATGTCAATAGCAAAGTTAAATAAGAATGGAGAAAGTAGACATCCTTGATGAACACCACTCGAGGTAATCGATTCCGATGTTAGTTAGTCATAAGTCCTGACTCAACCGGTGATGTTCGAAAAGAGTCTGTATATGGTCAATTTACTTCTTCGGTAGACCTTTTAACAACAGACACTACCACAGTATTTCACGATTAACACAGTCAAACGGCTCATCAGGGTCAAGAAAAACTGTTACGCTCATCTCTAGGTATGCCTAAAACTATCACGGGTTCATCTTAGTCCAATAACGAGAACAAAACCATGAACCAGCGTCCAGGTAGGCTACTCTGATCCGTTGACCCGAAAATACTAACTAGAAATCTTGATATACTGTAGAAAGTATATTCGACAAATCGCGTCTATTTATACACCATAGAGATGTCCTTGGCAGAGTCACAAAACAGCACACGACAATAACACAGTAACCAAATTTAATAATTTCTAATAAATAAAAAAATAGATGAAACACTTACCACCATGTATCACCAATACAAGAACTAATTTACCGGAATTCGGATGAATACCAGAGACAGGTTTTTGATTAAAGCCTTTTTCATAAAAAAATTAAAAGAAAGACGAAAATATATTAATTAACTATTGTGTTTTATTTCAATTTTATTCACATTACATACCTTCGAATGTTTCTTTTACAATGTAACGACGTTTAGAAAAAAATTGTGCTTTGAATGTTGAAATGGTAACTTGTCGTTAGACTTAAATATTCCAAACTATCGAAAATAAGATTACTCAGATTAGGAAACCCTCTTTGATGATCTCTTGTTCTAGGACTTAAAACACTAAACAAAACATGAAATTATTTTTCCAGGCTGAATTGCGTCAGTGTTAAAAACATTTAGGTTTAATTCTTACAAAATAACTGTTCTTGTGTATAACCATCCATGACAGAGGTAAACTATAAACGGTAAGACGATTTACCAACTGCCATATATAAATGCACGGAAATTATTGAGGTCAATTCCCACTTACTTTACACGTCCCATGTATCAAAAAATCATGACTTATTATTAAAACATTGTGACTTACAAGATTTGATGCCTGGCATATCAAAACTCTGGAAATTCGACTCAAGAGCTGTATCATAATCAGTATTCCAAGTAAGGTCGCTACAGCATGTGACAAATGATTGAGTGTCATCATCGGACTCTGTAAAATAAAATTATAATAACACAACTTCAGCACTGATAGTTCAATGAGTGTTTAACAAAACAATTCAGCTACCGAAATAGGCCGTCGTACAATCACACAAAAAAAAAACATTTCAGGTTATTTGTTTTTATAAACTCATATCACTCGAACAACTACAAATTACGGATTAATACATGACTGTCTCATTATAGCTAAAAAAAAAATTCGAGCAGTTTGAATCCCTCGTTCAATATTGTAGCGGACACAAAACAGTGAGTTATCGAGTTGGAATATAAGAGTTAACACTTGCAAGGACAGAATATACGCGATTCACTCTAGTATTCCCTTTGTATCGTAGTTGACAGTACATTTGTTTACCGTCTAGTTAGTGATAGTTAGAGACTTTTAATTACCATTTAAACAGAAAGACTTATTCATCACTGAAATAACTTTTTTTGTAGGTGATAATGATGAAAATTCGAAAAAAATCGATATGTTTCAACATACTTTAAAACAATTGATACCTATAATAATTGTTTTTTCGAAATCGTACTGTGATAATAGAGTCGATTTGAAAAGTTAAGTTTTTTCCCTTTCCTCCAATATACATTTTGAACATTCTGATCACACATACTCATTCAAACTTACATATTAAAAATTTTGTTTAATTAAATAAAATTGTCGCGGAAATAATACGTGATAATTGAAAACATAAGGTAGAGCTGATAATATGAAAGGAATGCGAACGTATCACACTTTTCAAGTCATTAAATTGAGTTAAAGATTACCAACATAGATTCAAGGTGAGAACAAACTGTTTTCATTATTAAACAAGGAATTTGGATATTTTGGTTTTCACAAGCCTTAGATTTTATGTAAAGATTGAAAAGCTGTTTTAACTTTCTCTTTCTAAACTTATCTCACTAAATTAAACTTTTTGAATAATTAAATATTTGAACCACAATCTTCTCGATTACCAGCGATACTTCTACAATCATTACCACTATGGGATTTGAACTGATAATCGATTGCGTCTCTATGTTAATGTGGTATGGCAATCTGAACTGTTGTATTTATGTACGAAGTTCTACGTTGTAACTAACTGACTGAAAAGCTGTTTTAAAGTCAGTCCTATAACCTGTTTCATTGTCGTTGTTCAATCGACGAGCATAGCTTTTTTGGTCTATGTGTTTATCAGAATAAGTAACACCAATGAATTCTGAAGCTATTTAGACACATAATTCAGTAGTTATGATTGCATCATTGAATTATTGCACACAATATGTGTTCAAACAATATATATATATATATATATATATATATATATATATATATATATACATGATGAAGTAACACTAACCTGCACAAGGTACTGTGAACGGTTCAAAATCATCATGTTCAAAATTGTTTGCTTCTAATTTCTTGAAATCAGCCCATAAATTTTGTTCTAGGAAAAATAAGGTGACATAGTAATGATCATTATTATTATTATTATTATTATTACCATTGTTTCAACTTAAAAATCAAGAAACTCACCAATGTCAATTTAACTAAATCACTCGTTTAAAATCAATTAATTATGTTAGAAGTTAAATGACAAAAACTAAATGTTTATGCATGTTATCTCATGGAAAGTAATAATGCAAAGATTAAAATGACAATATATGTTTAACACGACTGATAATAATAATAACTAGTTAGCACTTAGACTAACTAGTTCCATTATTTTTTTTAAAAATAATAGTGAATTATACATATATGATCATATATATATATATATATATATATATATATATATATATTCTTAACAATAGTGAATAGGTGTAAACACAAATCAACAACTAAAACAGGATTATTGGTAATATTATCTTTAGAATTGTATCATATCACTAATAGTTTAAATAATCAAAACAATAGTTAAACTACTGATCATGAGAAAGAACAAACAAAAAGGCGGGGGAAACTTTCAACAACAACCAAAATAACATAAAACAAATCACTTTAGATTGATGTGATTGTTTGTAATTTATTGAGTATATAAATATATATGGTTAGGATTATTTAGGATAGGATAGTAAAAAAAAAGCAAGAACAACTTTCAAACAATGTGTTATGCCAAGAAAAAAAATGTTTCATCATTTTATATGAGTAAATTCAATCAAATCAAATGTTGACAATAATAGCTAGATTGATGATACTATTCGATTTTAATTTAGCATATGAAACCTGATTATCACCTTAAAAGTATTGAACATTATTTGACATAACAAAGCGACTAGTTTGTAATCATCATTAGTAGTGATACATTAAACATTCAAATTATTTTTTTTTCACCTAAATTAAGGTTAAATTAAACAATTTTATTTCAATACTATGCAGTAGTAATTAATAGTTATTATTAAATTGAAAATCAATTGAAATTATCACATTTAAAAAAATATATTAAGCTAAATAGAATAAAAGAGGAAGGCCATTGAACACATTACGCCGAGAAATAGAGAAAGATATGAGAGGAATGAACAAAGACTGGAAAGAACTGGAAAGGGAAGTCCAGGACAGAGTTGGTTGGAGAAAACTGGTGAGCGGCCTATGCTCCATTAGGGGTAACAGGCGTAAGTAATTAAGTAAGTAAATAGAATAACCTCAACTCTTAATCAAGTTCGCTTATTACATTCATTCTACAAGTATCATTATCACTGAAGATTAGATTGAACAAGACTTTGAAAGCTAAATTAGAAAAAAAATGTCTTAGCACTTCTTTGTCCCATTGTGATAACACCGTGGTTGGATCAATGAGAATTCCTACACAATGAATAATAATTATGCCTTGTAATTTTTGATGTCTTTCATCTATAATCGAAATACTTCAATTTGTATGTATGATTGTTTAAATTGAAATCATCTGACAATCTTCAGTTAGACCAATAATATCCAAACGTGTTGGAATTTAAGACTAATTCATCATAAACACACAGTGTGTTGAAATAATAATAATAATGTGCCGTATACAGTAGGATAAGTACAGTATCAATTAAAACAACATTTTATTGAAAAATCTAAGCAAATCGTATTATTAAACCATACAGCAAATATGCTTTTACAATAATAATAATAATAATAATAATAATAATAATAATTCACAACAAAACGAAATAATGTAGTAAAAATTACCCATAAAATAATTATATCCAATGTATTCTCATTAGCGAGAATAATTAGTTATACAACAAATTTACAGGATAATAATCAAATAGATTTAATCAATTAGCACTACATTCAAGTAGCATCCAAAAATGAATGTATAAAACAGTCAGAAAATATAAAAACTATATAAGTACAAGTGTAACAAGTAAATTATAGACAACCGAACAACGAATAAAATCACGATAATAATAATAATGATAATAATAATAATAATAATAATAATAGTAATAGTAATGAAAAATAATGAAGATACATAAAGTATAGAGAAATTCAACCAAATGATTACTAGTTAATTATTTTAACAAAATTTCTATAGAAAAATGCGTAAATTGTTGATATGATAGTAAATTTTATTCATTCCTAGTTGGGGTACAGATTGTACAGATATGTTTTCTCAATCGGGTAAGCAACTTACATTCCATTTTTAAAGTAAGATTATCGAATTGTGAAAAATCACGTACAAAATTGTACAAAATTATTATGAATAGAATTTTGAGAGAAACCAAGTTGGATTTGATAGGATTTCGATAGGAAAAGAAAAGAACTACTGCTATAAGCTCTTTGTAAACTGACAAATAACATCACATTCAGTTAAATGAAAGCTTAAGAATAAACTAACGACAATCTAGTATGGATAGGTTATTTAAAAGAACGTTAGAAGTAAGAAACTAATCAGTAACGTGTGATTTGAAATGAGATGCTAGCGCACCTCCAGTAGTAAGGAAAAAAAATAGTAAATGTAAAGAGTTCAATAAAAAATAGTGGTAATTAACTAACAATTGTAATCTTTCTTGCTTCAAATATGCGAAAGCTGTACAAATATAATTTGATCATGAAATATTACACAATAAATTCACCGACTACTTTTAACTATTCATAAACAATCGATTTTAAAAAATTTTCAGGTGTATTATTTTTTGTAATTTGTAATACAAAGAACAAATTAGATAATGTGTAACCGTTCAATATAAATAATATAATTTGATCAACATATTAGAAATGAAACATTGAACTTTATGATTACAAATGGCAATGAACTGTAACTGTAAACTATGAACTAAATTTATCACAATTAAAATAATGTGCGCAAATAGGCTCATAGAAAAAACTAAGGCATAAAAATCAAGTTGCAGTTAGTATCTGGAGAACACGAAAGGCAGACATGGAATACAGAATTTGAATGAAAGTGACTTATATCCACAAGCGTCAATAGGCTAGCAATACAACTACTATTAAGGAATTTTAAACAAGATGATTGATCACCTTGTTATAAACATCAACTTTGCTCTATAGTATTTTCATATACACAGAAATAATGTAAGGCAAACATTTCCAACGAATACATTTTATGTAAAAACTGAGCGAGTCTTTTTTATGATGACCAGTGAAATTATTGTTAAAAATGTTACTTTGAAACACTTTCCGCAGACAGATACAAAATGATGGATGTATGGATAATATAATGTAGAGAGTTTATGTAACTATACTCAATCAATCAATCAATCGATTGCAACCCAGTAGTGTAGTAAGACGAAATTCAAGAACAGAAAAATCTCATAGTAGTAGAGTTAGTAATTGTATTAATAGTAAATAACAACAGATTAGGCATCTAAAATATGATCTGGAAAGAAACGATAACAATGACGTCCAGTTAACAACTGTGCATACATTATTACTGAAAGTGAACGCTTTTATTAGTTTTGTACAGTAAAATAAAGTACTTGAGTTTACATTACACAGATATATACATATATCTATATATATCACATTTTTAGTCTGAACACCATAAACTGCCACAACGATTTAAGGAATCATTACAGAGATTAACATAAAACAATCACTAAATTGTCAATAATTATAGATGAATGCATCCAAAGGACATGTACACACACACACAAAACGACATTTAAACGTAACTCTTAAAATATTATGGTACTGAACACATTGAAATTATTGAATAGTAAATAAAAGATACATAAACAAATCAAAAACATTAATTTTTTTTCCAAGTTTAGTTATACACTGCAATATGGTGGTAATGTTTACATGATGTGATAATCGTTAACAAAAAAAATGAAGTGCAAAAACTGAGTACAAAGTATAATAATGATAACACAATAGGCATTTTAAAACATTTTCCATGCAAGAACGATCATAAAGAAAATAAATGATCAAAGAGAAAGCAGAAAAATACAGGAATCATTTGAAAAAAAAAAGATTGATCTAACTAGGCATTCATCAATACAGAACTTGAAAGAGAAAAAATTAACATCGATGAAAGGAAGAAGGAAAAAGTAAGAACAAATGGAAATTTAACTATAGATTTTTCACACTGTATGCATCACTTGCATCGGATATCGAACCTTACACTCGTTCATTATTTGATATTGCCATTTCTTATTGATAGGATACGCATGAACACTAATGGAATACACATCTCTATGTACAAGAATATGTACATACATGTGAGAATATGTAAATAGTTAGATTTTTAAAAAAAAATCAAATTACATTGCATTTTGTTTCAATAAATAAGACTTGTTCATTTAATTAACAAGACTCATCTGTGGAAAATGTTTGTTTTTATTTTGGAGATGAGAACAACGACAATTATATATAGACATATATATATAAACATATATAGTTATACATGAGTCAACACCTATATATCAATATAAATATATATACGTATTATACATATAAATATATATATAAAGAAAGGAAGACATATATATATATCTAGTCAGAATTACATAATTTTAACTGAGTGAGTAGCATTCAAATAAATCCGCACCTGCAATATCAGTAGAACTGACTGGAAGATGAGATTGTTCTAATGTCGACGCTTTTATCGAACCAGATTCACATTGCTAAATAAAAAAATTTAAACAAAACAAATAAAGCAAAGTAAACACAAGAGAATGCACATAATTATTGAATGTTAGAAAATTGATCACTTAAACAAAACATGATTTAACACCTACATGAAACAATTTTAAAGGGTGAAATACAAGTAAAATATTTAGAATCAGAATAGATAGTTGAGAGGATGTGACTATCTTCAATTCAAGTCAGAGTTAATCACATAAACAATGTAGAGTCAGTCAGTTACAACGTAGAATTTGGTACATGAGTACATAGGTTCCAGTTGCCACATCCCATCAACACAGAGACGCAAATGTATGTTCAAATCCAATAGTAGTAGAGATAGTAGAAGTATTAGCAGTAATCGGAGAGATTAGGGTTCGAAGATATTATTCAAGAAGTACAACTAAGTGAGATAACTTTAGAAAGAGAAAGATAGAGATTATGAGGAATTTAGGAGATTATAATTTGAGAAAACACAATGAATGAATGTAACAATGTAGAACCTGGCTTATATGTGAATCACTTCATATTACCGCATCGTTCCCGGAACAACAAGATAACATGATGACAATAACTATTACAACAGCAGAAGTAGTAACAGCATCAGTAGTTATCAATTTAATTAGATAAAAATAATCGAATCTAAGAAGCAAGAACTTATAGAATACAAATAATGAATGTATCTGTGCTACTGTCATCTATTTTTGAGTCATTGTATCGATGAATGAAGATTACAAGTGGTAAACACCTCAATGTCGAGAATCATATAGATTTCAATGGATGACTTAAGCTAGTTGATGGAAGTTTAAGTTTGGATAGAACAATTTTTACAGATAACATCACCAATTGCAAACTAACATGAATCCGCAAATCTCTAGGAAAGATATCTCACAAAGCACATACTCTCTAACAATATATATATATATATATATATATATATATATATATATTCACAATACTTGACAATACCGTTCTAATAAATGTAACAACTCGCGTGATAATTGTGTTCAATTGGTTGGATAGAGATCTCAGAGGAGATGGCTTACAGCCGGTCATTTCACACATAGGTGAAGATACATTCGCTCAATTTTTATCTACCCATAAGTATTGAGTTTTAGTTGTTATTTCATGATTTTTTTTATTCTGCGAATTGATCTCACTAAATTATATATCTTCGAACCTCAATCTTCTTCATTACCGCTAATACTTCAACTACCTCTATCAAACGGGATTCCACTTGACAGCTACGTGTCTATGTGCTAATGCGTTATGGCAACCTGTACTTACGTAGGAAGTTCTAGGTTGTAACTCACTGACTGATTACGAAAGTTAATTCATTCGACTTAAACTATATTATATTCATATTTAGTCTATTTTATTGTTCATTGATACCGTCATAACTATTAACTCGTAATCTCGTCAACTTCATATCGCTTGAGCTAATGTGATGGGACAATTGGAGCTGATGAATATTTGTTTCAAGTCGCATGTTTGGTAAGGAATAATTGTTAGGATATTCATCCAATATCCTAAGATAATTGTTTTTAAGTCTAATTCTATTGGTCTACCTAACTATCAATGTCACATACTTCAAATGTTGTTTCCTATTGGTCGTCTTAACTGTCAATGTCACAGTGATAGAATTTCATCATTGTTTGAACACCAGATGGTTGTTGATTCTGTTTAGTTTGTTTTTCATATTAACCTGAAATATATTATTATTTTACAATTCGGTTATTTCTGAAACTATTATTTTTTACAATACAAATCCACTATTTTCAACTTTGAATAAATTTTACAATCGTTGTTCAATTATTTTGTTCTGGACATTTCATATCTTAATTGGTCTGTATCATTAATTGTTCTGTTTGTCCTAGACTTACTTAACATAACTATGAACATGGGATGGTAAGATATTTCTCATTGACCGGCTTTTTTTTACATGACTTAGTGAATGCCGTGTCTCTTTTGATCTTTACCTGCCTTCATAAACAGTGACCCAATATATTATGGTATGTATAACACTCAGAATATATCTAAGTAGCCCACATAAATATTAATAACCGAGGAGCGAAGTTTGGCTGTGTTAGTTCGATGTTCCTGGATAAGGTAGTAGCGCGAGAAGTGTAAGAAGTAATTATTATGAAATCGGACAATTTACATGACATTTTAAAACCAAAATTCATAAAAGGTATCTCGCTTTAGAACTAGCGAGATTTAAATCATTTATTAGCTAAGCTTCAGCTAGGTGACAATACTCTTGTTCCAGAGTGGCACTTTAGTCTGATTATGTGTTTACAACTATGATTAACAACAGTGATTTCGTGTATGGTGAAAACGAGTTGGTCTAAATACTCACATATTCGTCACAAACAGCTAGGATCTGCTAAACAAACATTTGACCTTTGGTTAATCAAATAAACGACTATATTATCAGGTAAAAAGCAAGTGTGTACATTCTTCATAAATTCGCTTAAATGTTAGAGGGTAAGTAAAATATGACTTCTAGAAGATTTAAGAATGAAGTAAAAGTTAGTTGACTAGTTATTTCAAACTAATGAACGTAAACTGAAACTAACTTCAACAGATTGATTACATTCCATTTCATCAACAACATTCACAGTTGCATTGATATTTGGTGAAGTTGATTGAACTTCCTTAGATAATTGGTTGTCATTGTTTGGTCGTTGATCTGAATCAGCCATTTTAGACGCCAAAGCTTGAGCTGTTTCCTCTTCTAAACGACGAATTTCATCTATAGTCAGACCATACCATTCATTTTGCCATGCCCATACTTGTCGATGTGCTCTTAGCATAGTTTTTCGAAGCGCTATAATAATAATGATGATAATAATAATAATAATGTTTTAAGAAATTTCGCACGCTTTAAAAGGTAGCAAAGGACCATGCAGTATTGATTATAATTCTATCGAGAAAAAGTCGAATATACAAATATTATACAGCGATTACTGAATGTCATATTTGTCTAGTCCTTAATTCTCGACGAATTCAATCTAAGCGACTTGATTTTAAAGGAAATACGCTCTGATTTTAAATGGTTGGTAACCGTGGGGGGGGCAGTGAACTCTGGATCTAGGCTTGATTAGCAAAGCGTATCGGCAATATGTCGGGAAGTGACGCTCGTTATAAGATTCTAATCCATGTTAGCAAATACCATAGTCAAAGATGTTACTACTACCGAGCTATTAGGATCCTAATTGAGATATTTATACTAGTCAAGCACTGACCATTAATCAATGTCGTATCTTTGTAGTCTTCGGCCCTGGTCGAATTGTATCGATCGTATTAAAAACTCAGATGATACATAAGCAATAAATATTAATTCATGAATATGAATTTCTGTGAAATATTTTATTACGATGACATTATGTAACATATTTAAGTTAACATGAAACACCAGTTCAATGCGATCGTAACGTATGTGCAGTGTGCATCACCCAACTCAGTGGTAAACAGGTGAATATCTACTAGGATTTGCGAAATTATAATAATTTAGTAAATTATTTTCATAATTCGTTTCAATAAGTGTTCAAATAATAATTATCACTTTGACAGTAACTAACAACTGAAGGCTAAAATTCATTTTAAAACCCAATCTAACTAACCTGTGCATCGAAACTATGAGGATTTACAGCTTTCACAATGACTTCTGAAGATGATAAAAATCGTTTTAGAAAATGGTTTACTGTTCAGAACGTATTTCCAAAGTTACACTCAGATAAATTGAACAGTAAATCTCAACTATGAAATGAATGTATGGTATTTTACTCTAAGTAATTCGTAAGAATTGGTTTAGTCACACCATTTTTTTAACACGGCATAGTCTCAAAATGGATGTTTCAAATGAATTATTACAATGAGCTGAAACACTGAATCGGAGCGGTAGCACGCTTATAAATGATAAGTCTACAGAGCATGTTATTTTCGACTACCAGACAGTTGAAATCATTAAATTAATTAACTTCCTGTTTTATAAAATTCAAATATGTAATGAAATAGTCAGTTTCGTTCTTTGATCAGAAACCGCTGGTGACACGCACTTGTTCCAATTACCTCAGCGCTTAAAACTCCTAGTATCATAAATTCAACAGACGCTAATTAGTGAATACAAAGTTCCTGTTTTCAAAAAGTGGTAAAACTTTTTGTTATACTGAAACGTCAAGCAGAGGAATGGTAACTCATTGTTAATTTATGATATATCTTCTCACTGTATAATTACTAGAGAACTAGATTATTTATATACATATATATATACAGTGAGCTTTTGATTACCTTCCTAACTATCGTCGTATGATTTATTTTTTTGTAACCTGTTGCTACGTTATCATTCACAGTCTCCCCTAGTCCCAGCCACTCTCGGCCTATTTATGTATCATTGGTGTTTTCCATTTATTGGTATGATATGGTCAAGAATGTTAGTACATCAACTACCTATGTTTGAAATATATGATTTGAATCAGTTTTCTTTGATTCATGAACATCTAAAATTAACGAGGTTAGGAAGAGAATCCTGACACCACTATGTAAAAATAGCTGTTATCTATAGGCTATTAAAGAGTAATCATATTCTGATTGGTGTTTTATTTGTTATACGACAGTAAACAATTAAAGGACATAACACTCTACGAAAAGGCACCACAGAACTGAACTAATGGCTTTAATAAGAAAATTAATTGAGGGATAGAAACATACTAACGGTTTTTACAGTATCAGTACAAGTTTTGTAAACTCGATATACATTTGACACGAATTGTACTTTAAGCTCATATGGTATCACTTTAAAACAAATCCAAATTGATTAGAGATTCCAAAACAGTGAAAAATACCTGAAACATTGCTGTAAACTAACTAAGTGGCATACTTTAAAAAAGAAACGATAATCTAGCAGTTAGAGGACTCGATTTCAAATCAACAAATATTACAATGACTTAATTTTTGTATATGACAAGAGAAAAACACACTACATACCTGTGTCATGAATAAACTGTTCCACTCGTGTTTGTGTACCCCAATAACGAAATTCCACTCGACAAAGTTTATATGCACACATTATACGTTTATGTAGTGGTTTTAAATCTTCACTAGTTACTGGTGAATTATCATGAGTTCGAGTTGGTGGTTTGTCATAGGTTTCATGAGTTACTTGTTGTGCATGAATAAATTCCTCACGCCAATTCGATGATAATGGACCACGACCAGTTGCTTCGGATATGTATAGACTAGGATCTTCTTCTGCTTTATAATCACTTCCAGTAATTGGATCTTTTACAATGTCAATAAAATCTGCATAGAAAAGTTTTGAAGCCAATGAATGAACGTATTAAACGGGTTTTTTTTTGAAAAGGATGAAAACGTGTGTGTTTTCCAACAATGAAAAAGTATAAACAAAAGCTTAATGAGGAAAAAATTACTCAAAATATGTGGCGAGAAGAATCATATTAGTTTTTACTTTTTATAAACCTAAATCTTTGAACTAGCTAGTTATTTCTTTTTTCAACTGCTACTACAACAATTTATATTTATTTTCAACGTCAATAAACCGATAAATTATTCTTTTTTGCTATATTTTTGTCTATGGCTTTAGGAAACATTCATAGCATATCAAGAAGCTAAACGATAAGAGACGCGAACAGAGACACCGAAGCAGTCGGTAAAATTCAATTCGTGTGCTATCCTTCAAAATAATGAGGTGCAAACATAGTATTGTTCATGGACTCAGTCAGTCGGCTACAACGTAGAACTTTGTACGTACGTATATCAATTCAGGTTTCCATATCACGTTAATAATTGAAACCAATTTGGTCTTGTGTGTTGTTACAGGTGCGAGGGCGGATATCACTTCCCGGCTACCCACACCGTGGAAGGGTGTTTCTTGAGGAACCTGGAAAGAAAGGTAGACCAGTGACCGTCTTAGGGACCTGGAAACCTGACCGCAGAGCCCAAGGGACGACTGCTTGAGGCCAGTCATGTACGGCCTTTTTATGAGAAGTTTTTAGAGCGTTGGCTTCGCTTTTTTTTAAAGGCCTTATCACCGGAGATGGAAAACCGTGAGGTAAGGTGAGGTGTAACATTTTTTATTGTCGACCTTTTCTAACCCCCTCCTTTCTTGTGAGAAGGCAGGATCGTTACAGATGCTGGTTGTCCGAGGGAAACACCTTACTTCTGTCTCACCTCTCTATAGTCAGCAGTACGACTACGCCCTCAGACCTTGAGTTGCTACTTTTAGTCTCACTGTTCTCCAATCAACCTGCCTGGCATGGTAGAACCTACAGAAATATATGTTTCAGCCAATATAGCTCGGTTGAGTAATAGACAAGCCTGACCACCACGTCAAGGTAGCAGCTACAGTCGGGATGATGGACTCGAAAGGAAAAACAAAGGAAATACCCTACAATGATATATCTAACATAAGTAAGTGCTAGTAAAAATTCTTTGCAGTCGCAAACGATAAGAAGATATATGTTGAAATAGTTACGGTTGAAGGAATAAACAATCTTTAGGCAAGGCATCATAATCAAGACGACAGCAAGAACAAGAACACAGGATATTTAATTAAGCCTGTCACTTTACTAGAGATCAAACTGTTTTCTCGAATAGTATCCTCCGCATCTTTTTTATGATAAGTTTACTGCTAATATCTCTACTATGGGATTTACATAGACGATTTCGTCTTGGTGTGCTAATGAGGTTTGGCAACTTGAACCGATGTACACAAGCTCCATAGTTTATCTTGTGTCTAACTGCCTGACCGTAGCTGCTACCTTGACGTGGTGGTCGGGCTTGCCTATCGTCATGACCCAACCGAGCTATACTGGCTGGAACATATGTTCTTGTAGGTTCTACCATGCCAGGCAGGTCGATTGAAGAACGATGACACTAAAAGCAGCTACTCAAGGTCTGAGGGCGAAGTAGTACTGCTGACTGCAGAGGGGTGTGACAACAGTAAGGTGTTTCCCTCGGACAACCAGCATCTGCAGCGATGCTGCCTTCTCACAAGGAAGGAAGGGTTAGAAAAGGTCGGCCCTAAAAATGTCACACCTCCCCTAACTCACGGATTTCCGTCTCCTTGAGTAAGGGTGCCCACTAAGGGCCTTTAAGAACGGAGCTAATCCTCAAAAAACATTTCTTAAAAAGGCCGTGCGTGACCGGCCTCAAGCAGTTGTCCCTTGGGCTCTGCGGTCACGCACCAACACTAATCTATCTTCCTTTTCAGGTTCCTCAAGAAACAACCTTCCACGGTGTGGGCAGCCGGGAAGTGACAACCGCCCTCATACCCGTAACAGCACGCGAGACCGAATTGGTCAAAATCAAATCCTTCCTACACCCCCTAGTACCTCTCTTATCTCCACGACTAACTCTTCTCACATTCATTCATCACAATGCACAGCTAATGCAGACGATACGAGTTCGCGAAAGGTCGTTCCTGGTCTCCTTAAACCTCGCTCTAGACTACATGTTGGAGCATTTAATGTACGGACATTGTGTCAAATAGGGCAACAGGCTTCCTTAGCTAGGACTTTAGAAACTCGTGCCATCGATGTATGCTGCGTCTCGGAAACGCGCATACAGGATTCTAGTAAAATTATTAATCTGATTTCACCTTGTCAAAAAGAAGTAGCTCGATTTACTCTTCGTGTATCCGGTAGCCCTGATGCTGCTTCCCGGGGTCTTGCTGGCGTAGGCATAGCATTGAGTCGTAGGGCAGAACTAGCTCTCCTTGACTGGATCCCAATAGATAGTCGATTGTGCGCTGTCCGACTAAACGGGACAGTAAGGACTAGGAAAGATAGGGACAATCGCTGTTGCCTCTTCATCGTATCTGCCTATGCCCCCACTGAATGCAGTTCAGACGAGGTTAAGGATGAGTTTTACAGAAAGCTCTCGGACGTCCTCCAAAAAGCTAGGCGCTCTGATATAGTAATAATGGCTGGTGACTTTAATGCTCAAGTAGGTAGACTAAGTGAGCAGGAGAGACACCTAGGTGGATGTTATGGTGTCGCGGCTCAGAGAACAGACAATGGTGACCGTCTGTTGCAAGCATGCTCAGACAACCGCCTATTCTTAGCAAACACTAAAGTTAGGCATAAGGAAAAGCATCTGTTGACCTGGCGACCTCCAAAGTCGTCTCAACGTTGGACTCAACTAGATCGCATTGCCATCAGCCACCGATGGAGGGGTTCGATAGAGGACTGTCGCTCGTTCTGGAGCACATGTATAGATTCAGATCATGCCCTAGTGAGAGCGCGTATTTGTTTGAAGCTTACTGGGCGTAGGAAAGACACCGTAAGAAAGCCTCTTAACTTAATGATAATAAGGCGAAAAATATATTTCAGGAACAACTAGAAAGACAGTTAGGCGACCATTTAAGCGATTCCCATCCGGAAGCAGGATGGAATGATATCAAAAAGGCTGTGGAAACAGCAGTGATATCTGCTAGTAAGGTTGACCATAAGGCTAGAATGAAACCGTGGATCTCAATAGCATCCACCGATCATCCCACCTGGCTCTGAACATGATGAAGAACGAAGTCAACTTAGGCGCAGACTTATAAAAAGCCTACGTAACGATCGCGAACAGTGGTGGGTGGCGAAAGCAAAAGCGATGGAAAAGGCAGCGGCGATCGGCAACACTAGACAACTTTTCCGACTTATCGAGGAAACTGGT